GTGTGTGTGTGTGTGTGTGTGTGTGTGTGTGTGTGTGTGTGTGTGTGTGTGTGTGTGTGTGTGTGTGTGGTTTTGCGCTTTCATGTGTTCAGTGCGTGGGCTGACATTGCTTCCCTGTCTCCATGCCCTGCCTGCTCCCGTTTTCAGGCAAAGGACCGATGCGAAAGCAGTTTGAAGAGGTGAGAGGCGGATAACAGCGGTGCAGGAACTCTTGCACACACACACACACACACACACACACACACACACACACACACCACACACCACACACACACACACACACTTATGTCTTACCACACCCACTCCTCGTCCACACGCAGCGGATTGCATCACTTGCGTTGCACCATGTGACGATTGTGACGGCATGGCTGCGAATCGAAGACTATCCACACATGCTCGCGTCAGCAGACATTGGTGTCAGCCTCCACCTCTCCTCATCGGGGCTTGATCTTCCAATGAAGGTGACCACACAATTGCTTGTTCACGGATGTGTGTGTGTGTGTGTAAAAAGGAAGCACCACGGCGCCTGCACCTCACATTGCTTACTTGCATATTGTCTCCATGCAGGTCGTGGACATGTTTGGCTGCGAGCTGCCCGTGTGCGCTGTGAACTTTCCTTGGTGAGCAATGTACGGGGGAGTTGCCGGCGCTGTTGTGATGTGCGATGCCTTTGCTGTCAGGTGTGTGTGTGTGTGTGTGTGTGTGTGTGTGTGTGTGTTTCACTTGCTTGATCGCTCACGCCGCGTGTGTCACACGTGCTTCTGCAGCCTGCATGAGCTGGTCAAAGATGGCGAGAATGGCCGCGTCTTTGACACATCGGAGCAGCTTCATCGACAACTCAAGGTGTGTGGGGGAGTGAGTGAAGGTGTGGACGTGTCTACTGTGGACGTGGGAGTGAAGGGAGTGCTGTGAGTGAGGAACCTTGCACCAACAACACCGACACACACACACACACACACACACGCACGCACACACGCACGCACGCACGCACACGCCAACAACACCCACACCCACAATCACCAACAACACCCACACACTCACACACACGCACATATGCACGCACACACACGCACGCACGCACACGCACACACACACACACGCACACACACTGTGTAGGAGTTGCTGGCTGGGTTTCCTGAGAGCGCAGAGCTGAAACGCATGCGTGCAAACTTGTCTGCCTTCACCGCGCGTGGGTGGGATGTGACATGGCGGGAGCGGGCGAGAGACGTGTTCGCGTCCTAAATTACAATATGGTGTCGCTAACGCTTCGTAGAAAAGTGGAAAACACACCAAACAAAATTCCATATCCAGCACCGGCGACCAGTGCACAAACATCCGCTCCACTCTGACTGTGCGCTCGTCCATCATCTCCGCGCTTCAAACCCTCTCAAACGCCTAAACGCTCGTTGACCTGTTGACTCTTGGCCAGCCATCATGACGATGCTAGTGACGCGTGTTGCGTCGCTGGGTTTGCTGATGCTGTGTGTGGCTTGCCTGCAGGCAAGCACAAACCCCACGCATGCACTGGCCTCGAGCACGACAAATGTGAAAACGAAACGCCTCAGTGGAACATTGTGCTCGCCCGATTCTTCTGCGGACAGCGACGCGATCGCATCGCCCACTGCATCCATCTTGCACGTTGGCTGTTCTGCGCACAGCACGCTGTGCCGGGAGGCCAAGGCTGAGCTGCGGCAACTGCTGCAACTCGTTCACCGTGCCCCACACGTTCACAACACGACTGACGACGACGACAAGAGTGGCAACAGGACTAACAGGACAGGCGACAGGGCGTCTGACCCACTCCAACCGCAAGCAACTACCACCGCGCTGGAACGTGCACTCACCTTCTTCTGTGACAGCGGCAGCGGGGAGGCTGACCCAGATGAGCTTCATCCTGTCAAAGAACAGCAAGATCGCCAAGATCAAAACGTTGCACGACGGCCGCTTGCCAAGGTTAATGCGCCAAGGAACGGTGACTTCTTCCATGAATCCGAAACAGACCCTCCGCTGTCACCGCCACCTGGCGTCCAGAAACAGCGATCCAGGAGCCGCCGGAACGAAGAGGATGTGGACCACGCCATGTGCACGTTGTCCAGCCTGCTTGCTCTCAACTGCAGCTCGCCTCCCACCGCTGTTCCGACCCCAATGTTGGAAGTTATTGTGGATGCTGATGAAGAGCTGGGCGCCCTCACCACGCAGCCGGACCTCGATTTCAACACCACCATCGCCGCAGAAGAGTATGTGCGGCAGAGCACAGCAAGTTGGCAGCCACGAACTCTCGTTGTGAGCGGGCTGGTGTATCTGAAGGACTTGGTGTGGCTGCTCAACAGTGGCACTTGGGGCAATGCGGCCAACTTCAGGCTGACTGGCCTCAACACGCCCACCCTGTGCCTCAACATCTTCAACCCCTTGCGGAGTGTTCGTAACATTCGCATCTCGGACGGTCACGTTATCCATCTCGCCCAAACGTGCAGCGATGATGAACCAACGTTCCGACTGGGAGTGTTTCTGCAAGAATTGCGCCTGCAGCGCATGAACATTCGCGATATCGCAGACAACACATTTCGCAACATGCACCTCGTCCACACATTTGATTTTCGAGACAACCAGTTGACGGCCTTGAAGAACAGCACTCTGTTTGGGCTTGAACGCCTCAGAGTGCTCCTGCTGCGCGACAACCACATCAGCTCGATTGAAGATGATGCATTTTCTGGAATGACACAGCTCACGCTCATGAACTTGATCGAAAACGATCTGACCCAACTGTCAGAGCGGGTGCTGTTGCCGCTCTCAACGCTGAGTAACTTGCAGTTGAACAACAACCCCATCAATAGCTTGGCAGAGAAGACGTTTGCATGCCAAACGCAACTGCAGACACTTTTCATTGACGCCTGCAACCTGCAGAAATTACCGTCTGACGTGTTCCAGAACACAACCATGCTGGCAGACGTTCGACTGCGGAACAACAAGTTGACCGAGCTTCCACAGGGCATGCTCTCCAATTTGCGGCAGCTTCGAAGATTGGATGTCAACAACAATGCCCTGCATCGCGTTGATCGCCTCTGGACCGGAACACAGCATCAGTTGATCCGCATTCAGCTTTCCCACAATCAGCTGACCTTCGTTCATCCATCTGTTGTGTCATCTGCCCCTAATTTGGTTATTTTCCTCGCCCGGCACAACGTCCTGACCTCAGCCGTTCTGTCTTCGCTGCATGACCATGCGCAGCTGGTTATTGTGGATGCCAGCTTCAATAGCATCTCGTCCATTCCAGACGATGCGCTGCGCAATATGACGCGACTTCAACAGTTGTCTCTGACCGACAATCTTCTCACTGGGTTTCCAGCAAGGAAACTTCCGTCCCTTGTCTCCCTGCGCCTGAGCAACAACCCCCTCACAGCCCAGCCAGATGTAACTCTTTATTCTCAACTTGACGAACTGGACTTGACCAACCACCGCATTCCACACCTGGACGCCACGCCCTTCCTCCAACTGCTTCGTTTGCACCGACTGGAAATTGCAGCCGCCAAAGATGTGCCCCCAGCCACTTTGAGCCTGAGCAACACCATCAATCTTCAGGACTTGAATCGACTGGTTGCTGTGGACGTGCGAAACATCAACGTTGGCCCACTATTCAACGTGCTGAAGAATGCGACGGTTTTTGCACTGCGGGAACTGTCTCTTGGCTGGAGTGGCATGGACGAGACCACGCTGTCACTCAGAGGCATCTGCCCGATGCTTCACGACAATGTCGCCCGCTTCCAGCTGTCCAACACGGCATTCACGCACGTGCGCCTGTGCGATGGCGTTGTCTACGACGCCGTCTTCCTCCAAGACAACCTGCAGCTGCAGAGCGTGAGCAGTGTCGGCGGTGTGCAGCAGCTCAACGTGTCCGGGTGTCCACATCTGCAGCAGCTGCACGTGCCGTCAGCAGATGTGCTGGACATCAGTGGCACACGGGTGCCGTTGTTCCGTGGACTTTGCACGTCGCTGGGAACACGCACGTTTGTTGCGCGCAACTGGCAGACTGAGGACTTGACAAACACAGCGCGCTTGCAACAACTGCTGTCGCAGTGTTTGTTATCCAGTCGTGTGGATGTGCTGGACCTGAGCGACAATCCACGTCTTGACCAGCCAGGTGTGGTGGAGGCTGTGGTTTCGAATGTTGTGGTGTTGGGTGAAGAGGGACAACTGATAAACGATGACTTTGCCCGCTTGGTTGGCCGAACTTCGGTTGGGTTGCTGCAGCTAGCCGACGCGCCCACCACGTGCCAACTTCAGTTCCTTGACCTTCGCATTCGGCAATCAGGGCAAATCCGGCACGCGCGTTCCCAAGGGCTGGGCTACTTTTACACGTGCCAGTGCTCGCAAGGGTATGAAGATCGCGATGGGCGCTGTCACTCGACGGCACCCGACGTTACCGCGGCGGTTTTGGGCACGCTCGCTGGTGTGTTGGTGCTGCAAGCTGTTTTTCTCCTTGCTTACCGCACGTACACACGACAACGACGATTGCAGGCGGACAACGCCTTGAAGGACCAACTGCTCATGGAACGAAATGAGGAGGTGATGGCACTGAAGCGGGCGTGGGAGATTGAGTACGATGAGCTGAGACTGGTTGAGCGTGTGGCTGCAGGTGCTTTTGGTGTTGTGTTCAAGGCAGAGTGGGACACGGTGACGGTGGCGGTGAAGGTGTTGCAGCAAGGGGTGATGATGTTTGATGAGAGCACGGTGCTTGAGTTTGAGAAGGAGGTGGAGTTTCTGCAGCGGACACGGCATCCGAATGTGGTGCGGTTCTTTGGCGCGGGCACAGATCCCAACGGCAGCCCGTTCCTGGTGCTGGAGTATGTTGCTCTGGGGTCACTGAAAGACTTGTTGGGGAAGGATATGAAACAGGTGTTGAAGAACGCGAGGAACGAGAGCGCTGATGGCGGTACAGATGCAAGCGTGATTGCAGAGGATTTTGGTGAGGAGCTGACGTTGGTGAGCACAGGACGCGACAG